AGTTACGCAGGTTTGTTTCTGGCCCAATTGTCATTCTTATTCATGTTGGCGGCAATGACATGGTGGCATCAATGCTCAGTAGACTTGATAACCACTATGAAGGCTGACATAACCTGTTTTTATGCGACTTTCAGTAATTTAGTTAGTTTCACAGGTTCTTTGGGCCCGAGCCATTCATGAGTGGTGTCTAGAACGCTGTAGATGAAAGATTAATTCCCAAGTTTTTAAATTTGTAAGACATATTGGGGCTGTTGTAGTGAGGGAGCCTTGACTGCTGGACTCATGCAGTAAGGACGTGGCCAGTAACATGGACCCCTCCTGTATAAGGAGTGTAATCGATTAATAATTGGGGGGTAGCTTACAAAGGCAGAGACAAGCAATGTGTTAAAAGTGGGAGGAAGTGGGCTTTCTGGCCTCTTGAGAGTCGACCAGCAAGCAAAACATCCCCGGGCACCAGTGGCGTCGCTACAGGGGGGCAAGGGTTGGCAATTGCTAGGTTATTCCCTCCTGAGTTCCACACTGACAGGCTGCATTCTTCGTTACTCCTGCCCTTTGGAGCTACACACTGGCATGCTGATCTCTCCAACAACCATGTGCAATGTGTGGATTTAGAAGTCTGCTTACTGAAAGTATACCTTTAAGTTGGCAAAGTTAACCCTTCACTGACATTGCTGGGATTGTTATTAATTTGGAAATGGTAAAAGTACTGTTGCTATTGGAGTTTGATTTAAAGGTCTAATGTTAGTCTTAGGCCTGGTTAACACCTGCGCATTCTGAGGACGAGTGGCGATGTGCGTGATCTAGAGCTGCAACAACTATTTGATTTAGTCGATTAAAATCGACGATGGAAAACGTTGTCAACGTTTTCCATAGTTGATTATTTGGCTATCTATTAAATTGTCTGTTCGTTGCTCCACGCCGTACGCCACGCCCGCCGCACACGCCACGCCCACTGCACACGCTGGTTAAGCCACACGCGCTGAGAACATGCCTCTGCTCCTCCCTTTGAGCTTCCTGACTTGCCGCTGCCCGCCGACAGTCAAGGGCCCACGATTCAAAGTAAGTCACTCACCAACGACATTCTAAACCTTTTTAATGTTTCCTGTTTTAAAAAAAGCGGCACAATGCAGACCACCAGCTGTAGAGGAACAACAAATCCCAGCAATAGTACATTAAACACCCTGTATAATGTATTATTGCTGGGATTTGTTGTTCCTCTATAGCTGCTATTATATATATATATCTGGTCGGTGGTATTTTGCATTGTGCTGCTGCACACTGCAGAACACCAGCAGCTATAGAGGAACAACAAATCCCAGCAATAATACATTAAACAGCCTGTATAATGTATTATTGCTGGGATTTGTTGTTCCTCTATAACTGGTCAGTGGTATTCTGCATTGCGCCGTATGATCATTATACAGCAATGCAGAATACCACTGACCAGTTATAGAGGAACAACAAATCCCAGCAATAATAATTTATACAGCGCAATGGGGACTAACACCAGCTATAGAGGAATACATCATATCCCAGCAATAATACATTATATACAGCTCAATGCAGAATAACAGCAGCTATAGAGGACTACATATTCCAGCAATAGTACATTATAGTATAATGTACTATTGCTGCGATTTGCTGTATTCCTCTATAGCTGCTGGTATTCTGCATTGCGCCGCTGTATAATGTACTATATTGCACACCACACTTTTTTTTACTTCCACCGCTCCAAGCTTGCTCCCGTGATGGACTACAATCTCAATACAAACTAGTAGTCCCATCACTGGAGCCTTTTTTTCATTTATCCGATTAATCAAACTTAATAATTGACTAACTAATCGATTTTGAAAATAATCGTTAGCTGCAGCCCTAGCGTGATCGGCATGTGTCTGTGGAAACACGCCAAGACGCACTTGCTGAACTTTTGATTTCTAAAGGCACCCCAAATGCGGCCAGCAAGTCGTGAGGTTTTCTGCTGCGTTTCCATGCGTGCAAAAGCAGCAGAAAATGCATCCTGCGCATCGCACAAAATAGTGGAAGAGCCATTTTGCTGTGTTTCCGGCGCAGATATCTTTGTAATATCCCCTTCGCACACCGTACCGATGTACCCCAAAATTCAGCGGGTGCTGGAGCAACTGGTGGATGGCGCCACAATGTACGATCTAGAAGATATCTTGCCTGCACACCATTCTGCTTCAGAATGTTCTTTTATTTGTATTCCTTTAGCATGACATGTGAATGCAAATGTGTATTCCTTTAGCATGCACATGCCATGCTTAAGGAATACAAATTAAAAGGACATTCCGAAGCAGAATGGTGTGCGGACAACATATCTTCTAGATGCCACGCAGATATGACCATTAAATCAATAGAGCAGCGCGGCAAATGCAAGTTCGCGAGACGTGCAGGTGTGAAAAGGATTTATTCTTTACTCATAATTAGCTTTGGAGGGCCAATCAAGAAGTCGGGCTCTTTGTCTCTTAGGTCTGCCACTGGGTGCACTGTAGTCAGGAAAATTAGGCAGCCGCTTCAGCCCATGCTGGGGCCTGGCGGCTGCCTAATTTGTGCTTTATAGCTGGTGGTATTCTGCATTGCTGTATAATGTATTGTTGAGATTTATAGTCCTCTATACAGTGGCAGAACTACCAGGGTCACATAGTTGCAGCTGCGACTGGGCCCTAGCATTGTGTCACTTGGTGGGTCCAGACAGGAGGAAGGGGGCCCTGGTAACCAGCGACATCGCAGGTTCCCGGGCCCCCTACCTTAAAGTGATATTAAAGGATAATTTTTTCCCCCTCCCCCAATGTTAGTGTAGGGACTTGTTATAAATGATGCCTCTTAATCCGATCTTCTTCTTCTTTCCTGTAGTTGTCAGCTGTCCCTCCAGCGCTGGTACGGGTCTCTGATCCAGCACTGACTCCTCTGTCCTCCTCTCCTCTGCTGTCCCAAGGGGTCTGCGCGGGTGCGCACTGCTCCATTTACTTACCTTGTCTCTCCTCGTCTCCAGGCCGAACATCTGAACTGCGCATGCCAACCTAAGATCTTTTGCAGCTGCCTGAGAAATTTTCAGATGTCGGACGGGAGTGCGCGGCAGAGACACGGGTAAGTATTAACCCTTTGCAAAAGTTTTTTTTTTTTATCGTTATGCATATATCTTCTGCTTGCTAGCAGTAGATATATGCAAAAAACGTGAGGGTTTAATAACTCTTTAAGTCTGGGGCACTCCATTCTTCACACTGTGCCTGGATCATGTGTATCACAAAGCTCTACAGCAACAAAACATAGTAATGTGCAATGTGGATGACAAACCCATCTTAATGACAGTGATGTGCCACATGTTGTTTGGCAGATGTTCCATTGCTGCACACAAAAATGTCAGGATGTGCAGAAAAAAAAAGAAAAAAGGACAAACAACTGCAACGTAATGTATTATTACAATTACAATAAAGCAACACCTTTATTTTCTGGTAGTGCCCCTCCTGACATTAGACTCTGGATCTGGCCCTGCCCGCTAAATTAGGCTGCAACTCCAGGATTCAAATCCTGTATATCGCAACCGCTGAGAGATGATGGCATTGGCACCTGGTGGTTGCGATTGTGGGCGGCGTTGGACATATTGCAACCATCGGGCGCCAATGCCATGCGCTATTAAATCAGCTCCCGGCGCTTGCGACATGTAATCCGACGACGCCCACAATCTCCCTCTTCGTCTCATCCATGGTGTTGGGAGGAAATTACATCACTCCCAGCACTCTATGGTAGATAGCCACACAGGAGGGAGACATCCAACCACGCACTTCTGGCCCTGAGTCTAACCCGTCTGTCTACATACATATACACTGAGTGGCCAGTTTATTATGACCACCTGACGATTGTAGGCAAATTAGCTATAATTAGCTATAATTTCGCGCTGAAGTTGCTAGAGGGCCAGACCATTATAAATAGGGAAGCAGGTTGTTTACCACGACAGTAGAAGTGATTTTTTTCTGAAGATATGGTTAAACAACGCGATTTAACAGCCTTTGAACGTGGGATGATTGTTGGTGCTCGGAGCCATGGAGCGAGTATCAGCAAAACAGCAGAATTCGTTAAATGTTCAAGAGCGGCTCATTGTTAAAGTGTTTTAAAGACCGGACTGTGAGCTGAAAATCTGGGTCTGAACGTGTGAATTGTGGCCGTCAGCGACTAGTTAATGTTAGGGCAGAACGGAGAGTGGCAAGACTGGTACAAGACAACAGAAGGGCAACAGTGCAGTGTCAGATTCCTCGCATCACCTTTCAACATCTCGTGGAGTCACGAGGCGGCTCAACTAAGTCATCTCGTGGAGTTATAAGTTATATGTTATATGGTCATAATAATCTGGCCACTCAGTGTATATTACAATAAAAAGGTATGTATATGTGTGTGTATCATTGCGTACCGCATCACTCTCCTAGTTGTAATCTTATTTATATATACTTATTTAGTTTTTTCAGTGGTATGATTTAGTGGTGAAAATTATTAGTGCCACCCCAGTTTTGACTGTGGTATCTTATGTCCCCCCCTATATATTGTTCCTAGAGTCGCCACTGCCGGGCACCCTCCCTATTTTTTCTTTTCTAACTTGTCACAGCTTTGTTGGTATGTTTTTATTAAGTCATGATGTTTGGGTGCTCATGGTTTATCCGTGACTGGAACAAATGAATTAAACAGAAAAGAGTGTTATGTTTTATATGATGATAATACGTCAATAAAGCTGGGGCCTTGCCCTTTCAATAAAGTTAGTTTGTCTAGTATTCATCGCCAGTGGGGGGGGCAAGGGTAAAGAAAGTATTTTCAACGTTAAAGAAGTGTTTAACTATAATTCTCAGCAGTAATGAGTGTTTCATTTTAAAGGGGGAAAAAATTAAAGGCAGTGACCAACATACTGTAACTGGGGCATCCCTTTGAACAATTTGATTCTGGTATATTTACAAATGTAGTTTAATTTCACAATTGTTTGTGCATATTTCTTTCAGTTAACAGAAAATGCGCAACTTGGAAAATATGTGAATGTCTTGCCATTGCCTAAAAAAGAGAAATTTCCAAAACCTGGGAGTGTTTGTGAAACCGCTGGATGGGGTTATACATCAAATATTTATAACAAACTGTCAGACAAATTAATGGAAGTCAATGTAACAGTAATGAAAAGGCGAGCATGTGCTAATATCTGGCAACTAAAAGGACAAGAAAGTAAGAATATAACCCGCAATATGATCTGCACCAAAGAGAAGACAAATAAGGGAACCTGTGGGGTGAGTTTTTTATATCATTGCAAAATATCTGGGAACGTACAGGAGTAGGGTGCCACTGCTAATGGGGCAGAATGTAAAACAAAAATATATTCCTTTACACATTAAAAACAATCCTATATACATATATTATTTTTCAAGACATCCTATTCCTCTACGGGTGAGCAAGTATATGTACCTATTTCATTAAGAAAAAAAATACTTTTTTTGCCATTTAACCAACTGAGTGAAATGCTCAGCAAGATTGTCTTAGAAGTGAGAGGTTTAGAGAAAGTATTCTGAAAGACTATGATAAAGGAAGGAAATAAAAGAAACATACTTTAAAGGTCAATTTAGAGGATACAAACATTTCTGAAATATTCAAAAAACCAAAACAGAAAAAACAAGCATTTCTGAAAGTTAGTAAAGTCTAGATTTCACCAGAAATTAGATTTCTATGTTTGCAGATTTACTGCAAACATAGAAACATTAAATATGGACACTTCTCATTACTTCATTAGAACACGTGACCATGACAAGATTATACCCCAGAAATGATATAATACAAGTGTAAGTGTAAGATCGAATGCATGTTCCTCTCGTATAGATCAGAAGGAAAATCCCTTGCAAAGCCTAATTCAAGTAAATTTGGAGTGTGGGGAGGAGTTAACATTTCCAAAAAGTATTTTTTTTCTTAATGAAATAGGTACATATACTTGCTCACCCGTAGAGGTATAGGATGTCTTGAAAACTCCACTTTGAATTAGAAAAAACACCTCTCCCAGCAATAATAAAAAATGCACCTCTAGCTGAAATTCATGCCTCCACTCCAGCGCTGCCCCCTGCATACTCAAATTTGTGGTCATAGAATCGTGCTGATAGTTTTTCATTAGTTATTTCTAACTTCAGTGATGGAAAGTGAATTTGTAAGCCAAGCTTTCGCTATTGTACGTTTGGCGGCGGTTAGAACGTGTAACATTAGTTTGCTGCAGAGATTTTTGAAGCATACGATCTATGCATTTCCGAAGCTCTTGATGAGATGAATCATCTCTTTTGGGAGAGGGAGAGCTGGCTCTACTGTCTGCGTCTTCAATGCCAGAGTGGGGTGGAGAGGCCTTCATAGAAGACGGCACTTCCGAGTGTGGCGGCGATCAGTGCGGGTTAGCACTTCCTTTATAGATATTCCTCGTTGGTTGGATTCAGTCCCGGCATAATTTTGTAAGTATAATATTCAAAGGCATAATTACGTTGCCAAGAGGACCACCTACTGTTCGGTACCAGAGGCAGAGCTGTGGAGCTGGAGTGAGCATTGGGTTCCCCGCTAGTGTCGGAAAGGCTGCGTAGCGGGTCTAGAACATGTCTGCCCTCCATCACAGCGCGCATGCCCCCCTCATGTTTACTGTTTTACCTGTTAAAGCATATGACATTTTGTTCACCTACATACAGCATATCTGGTACTTGCACAGCCACACACACATCCTGGTTCAGCCTAACTGCCCGCTGAGTCATCTCCCTGCTCATTGGACAGAGGTGAAGAGATACTAATTTGTGATTCAAATCAGCAGGCTGGAGGAGTAGAGGTAACAGGAAGCTTAATTGCTGAACCACGAAGGAAGGATGTCATTTGGAGGTTGTGCGGTGGGCAAGATGTGCGTAAATTAGAATACCGACTATAAATAATTATAAATCCTTTGGCAAATAAAATACCTTTAAATTTAAAAATTGTATTTTGTTCTTTATCTGCAGTTCTGCTTTAAATAACCCAATGATTGTTTTCACAAGGCATACAAGCCTAGTTTTGTGGAAAGTTCACTAAATTTCAACCTAGGGCAGCAAAATTTCAAGAAAGTGTAAGTCTTCATGTCAGAAAGAAACATGGCTATTGCTTATCATATACAGTGAAATGCCTTAGCAAGCATTTGATAATGGTGTCCATCTGTTTTAACATGATGGGCAGTTGTGACATAAAGCCTGGGGTTCACACCATTTTCTGGACAAGATCTTTGAGATGGCGATTACAAACAGACTGGACCGCTACTTAAAAACCCTACCTACAAAAGGCGAGATGAATGGTGGATTCAGACGTATAGAAGAGCTCCACAGATCAGGTATGGAAGAGCTGAGAACTGATTTATTGAGCTTCCATAATAGAATCGATGTGATTGAAAAGCTAATGCAGCCCATGATTGATGGACAAAATGAAATGCAAGAGAGCATAAAGATCTTACATAATCAGCTTGTAAATGTATGGGCATATGCAGATGGCCTGGAGGATCGTCAGAGGGGCAAAAATATACGTCTGCGGGGAATACCCGACACTGGTGAGCAGAGTAATCTGATGGTTACAGTACAGAGTATACTGAATATATACCTGGACAAACCAACAAGGGAACAAATACAAATGGACAGGGTATATAGAGTATATGGTCCCTAACCCAGGGTCAAACAAAGGATGTAATAGGCAGACTACGGTCGCTCCAACTACGCCAAATGATAATGCAAAGATCAAGAGAGCGGGGAGATATAGACTTTGAGGGAGCACATATCTCTCTATTTCCAGACCTCTCTCGCAGGACCTTAGCAAAACGTAGAGCATTGCGCCCCATAACGACGAAACTGAGAGAGGCCGGAATTCAATACAGGTGGGGGTACCCGTTTCTCCTAAGCGCCAAGAAAAATGACAGATATGTGACTTTGAACACACTAGGAGAACTGGGACACTTTTTGTCAGTAATGGGTTTACCGCTGATACATATAGATAACTGGCCAGACCCTCCTATACCCTCAAGCAGGAAAGTACCCCAATGGGACTCCTGGGGAACCACAGGCCCGGTAACAACTAAGAAGAGGGATAATTAAGGAAAAAAAAAAAAAAGGGGAAAAAAGAGGGGAAATGAAACAAGCTCTATCATGTAAAGAAATCATGCATTGTAGAGTGGTATATGAATTACGCTCAGTGGTCTGGATATGTAGAAGTGTAATGCATTGTTATTTGCCTGGTAATATTGTCGGATTGGTCGTCCCTCCCTGGGTGGTTAGGCATAGATGAGATGCTAGATCATCCAGAGAGGGAGACAGAAATATCAGGGGATAGGGTATGTGAGTAACTAGGGTATTTACTTGGACTAAAAACGACAGTAGGAAGGGAAGAAGATACCCCCAAATAGATCATGTAGTACCCCCACAGGTCTCACTATAAGAACCCCCTAGGAAGGGGAAACAGGGGTAATAGGGTAAGGGGAGGGGGGGACACCAAGTAGAGTGGAGTTGGGGGTCACTGAACACAACAATCACGTATATCACCTGAATTTACAATCAATAATTTAATAATTGATGGGAAGAAAGAGGGACTAACACTAGCAAAGGTCACGAATTAATAAACACCAAACAACACCAGAGGAAGGCAATGCATACTGCATATCCCCTCAAAGGAATTAGAGGTACTAACCTGCTCACAAGACACCAACCAAATTTTTTATTTTTTACTCATTAGTACAAAAAATCATGGCACTATACTCAGCCCCAAGGGCACGAGTACGTGTGAATGGGATACTATCAGACCCAGTAAAAATAGCCAATGGGACCCGGCAGGGGTGCCCACTCTCCCCCTTACTGTACATCATAGCTATGGAACACCTAGCTGTGGCAATCCGCCAGAATACAGATATAAGGGGAGTGAACATCAAGGGGAGGATCCATAAACTAAGCATTTTTGCGGACGATTTGCTACTATATATTACAAATCCTAGGGTAGCATTCCCACTGGTCCTGCGGGAGATAGAGCAATTTGGGCAAGTCAGTAACTATCGAATGAATGCCAGCAAATCCCAGTGTATGGATGTGACTCTCCCTCAGGGCGAGCGGGAGATTCTGAGGTCAAGCTTTCCATTCGTTTGGGTCCCAGAAGCGATAGATTATTTGGGAATAAAAATACCGGCAGATGCAAGAAAATTATTTGAATTGAATTGTCTACCGCTTTTGGAGAAGACACAACTACGAATGGAGGCTTGGAGGAAGAACAAACATTCCTGGACAGGGAGAATGACATTATTTAAAATGGACATTCTTCCAAGATTCCTTTACATATTTCAGACGTCCCCGGTAAAGATCCCCAGATCATATTTCCATAGACTAAGATCTGTGCTGCTACAATATATCTGGGGTACCTCCGGGGCGCGCCTGGGGTATGATATCTTGGTTAAAAGAAGATCGGAAGGGGGAGGGAGCTTACCACATATGGAGATGTACTATAGAGCAGCGACTCTGAACAGGTTGATGGACTGGTTCAGACCCACGCGGCCCAAACTCTGGGTAACAATAGAACAAGCTGAGGTTTCAATACCTTTAACATCATTGCCATGGATAACCCCAGACAAACGCCCGTGGGAATGGAACCAGTCCGTTGTAACTGGTTCGATAATAAACATATGGGACGCTCTGATTAAGAAGTATGGGGTATCATCCTATACAGGACCACTGACACCTATTCTTGGCAACCCAGATTTCCCACAAGGAATGGGGAATATGAGATTTCTGAGATGGAGGAGTTCAAGCCATTCCCCAATACGACAAGCGATGAATGAACGTGGGGTACTCCCCCTAAAAGACCTACTGCCATCAGGAACGGCGGGTCAAGGTAGATGGCTTGAATACTTCCAACTTGGACATTTTTATAACTACCTGCGCTCCCAGGGACCGATAGATAGGGAAATGACCCCAATTGAGAATATGATTTCAAATAAACCGGGGGGGGAAGCACAGGGTGTCAAGAATATACAACATACTATTGGGAACAATGCTCCCATCCCCCCCTTATTACATCAAGGAGTGGGAACGAGAAATAGGACAGAACTTTACAGCAGAGGACTGGCACAAAGTCTTCCTC